TTACTGGCTGTGATTTTGAGAGAAAACGCTGTCGACGATGGCTGAGGAAACAAAAACTCCGGCGAGCAGATCAGGAAAGGCGTATTCTGGGTCAGAGATCGGAATGGCAAAACGATGGAAACCAGAGAAGAACCCCCTTTATATAGGGGGGAAATTGTCATCATTGGGCGGGAGAACCAAAACAGCGCATTTAATGCGCACGACGTCCCAAGCCGGGGAAAGCTGCTCGAGGCCATAATGAAGGACGGATGGCAGTTGGAAAACCCTTCGTCTCCTGACAACGCGTGTCCTCGGCGTCAGAAGATCGAAGGCTGGGGGGCAGTTGATGGGACTCTTCTGAAAAGCCCTATGATGAAGACACGTGTCCTCGGGTTCTAGAACAATGTTGCTCGGGTTCAAGCACCATCGGCAAAAAGTGTCCTCTCCCCCGAGGTACCTCTCATATAGGATCACATATTCGGTGCATTATACAACGACACGTGTCCTCGGTCACCGTGTAGCTCGGAAACATACCGCCCTCGGTCCCCGAGGTGAGTCTTTCCTCGGTGCCGAGGGTCACTCCATCCTGGACGCTTCCTCTACTCCCGGATAAAGCTACTGACGTACGGGACATCAGCCTATGCCAGTCTAGACTATTCATCATGACTTCGTCTTAACACAAGTAATGTCAGAACATGCTGGAATACCGACGTCACAGCCAATAAGGGATGGACGCGTGGCAAATAATGTCACATCAGAAGCAGACAAACCGCATGCCGTCGCTGACACGCGACTTGGGAAAGCAAACAAATTAATTGCACCCTTCTGTTGACGAGATCGCATTCAATGCGGTAAGGTTCGGATATGAAAGACAATAAATGCTCCTATTACAGAGCATTTATTGCATCCTTCCCGAAAGGAGCATATTGTACCGTCGGCGTCCCGACGGCTCAGCATTGATTGCTCGGGACCTCGAGCAATCAATTAGAGAAGACATTCCTCATCAAATCAATACACACGCTACCTGTGCCTGATGATCACCTACTGACCACACTGACAGCAATCATGAGCTTCTAAGGTATAAATACTCCTCCCAAAAGGCAAAGCCGGTATGCAATCACAAACTCTCGCCAAGAAGATATCCTTCTCAGTGTTTTCTCCTTCCTCTCTCTCATTCAAAGACTGATTAGACCGTCGGAGGGGATACGCCGGAAAACACTCCGGCGCCCTTCTAACTTGTTCTCCTTTGTTCCAGGAAAACCTTTCACACCTACAGGGTCGTTCGTCCTTTCCCAGGATCTTCCCTTTGCCGTTCCAGGTTGCCACCGTACCTTGCAGGCTGTTTCAAGCAGCGTGTTTGGCCACTCAACCGGCTCACCCAAAATTCACCAGAGGAGAGATCTGTTCCCAATATTTTATACATCATGCAGGATCTAACCCGCACATAAGATTTTAAAATGGATGACTTATTTAACAGCTGGTTCACAACGCTGAGGTAAATTGCCATTCTATCTTCTCGGGTGTTGTATTCAGCTCTGACATACCTTACGACTAGATGTGAGTCATTGTGGATCAATATCTACTGTGCTTTCATTTATAAGGCTAACATGAGCCCCGTTATAAGTGTCTTATTCTCTGCCTCGTTGTTAGAAGTGTTGAAATCAAACCTCAAGGCGTATTTGAGATCTACTCTTTCCGGTGAGGTCAAGATCAGGACTGCCTTACTTCCTTGAGCATTTGACGTTCTATCCACATAAAATTTCCAAATAGGTACGTCTTGAACAAATCCGTCTCTGCTGTTAGTGGTCACTTGCTTTGGTAGGGCCTAAGCCATCTAGCTGCTGTGCCTAGTGCTAAAACCAACGTCTCCATTATGGGGTACCTTTCCTATACTCCTCTGAGGGCTTTGCAACAAAAGTATACTGGCCTTTGAAATCACTCCTCGTCTCTGACCAGGTAGCAATGATTGAGAAGTTTGATACCGCCAAGTATGGATAAGGATTTCTCTTAGTTTTGGATTGACCAGAACTGGTGCAGTGCTCAAGTAGGTTCTTTAGGATTGGAAGACCTCTTCACACTAGTCATCACATAGTAAGGTCTCCTTTAGCACCTTGAAGAAGGGTTAGCACTTGTCACTTGCTCGAGAAAGGATTCAGTTGAGACCTACAATCCTCCTTGTGAAACGTTGAATTTTTTTTGCTGGTTGACAATCTTATTTCCAAGAAAGCACGAACCTTCTCCTGATTGTCTTTAAACCCTCTCTGATCCACTATGAACTTCCTTCTTGATACTCCAAATTCACATTTGTTCGGGTTAAGCTTCATGATGTATTTTTCTGAGTATCTGAAAAGACTCCTCTAGGTGAAGGCTGAGGGGATGACATTGAGAGCATTGAGAGAAGGTCATCTCAGTATCACATTATACGCAAAGGGAGCTTCAGTGACAAGAAACTTAATTGTGGTGGCTTGGCAAGGTAGGCCACTAATGGTTAGCACAAACTGAGTAGATCCGAAAGAGGTATACTTTTTCATCTAAAAACTGACAAGTGGGGATCTAATTGGCTTGAGTTGTCCGCGACCTATGCCGAGCTGACCAAATGCAATTGCGAAGATCATTTCCTATGGGCTACCATTGTTGATCAGGATCCGGTGAACATTCTTGTTAGCAATGATTACATTAACAACTAGGGGATCATCGTGAGGATACTTACATGCTTCCATATTGGCATCAAAAAAGGTGATTTTGGCGTTTAGCTAAGGGGTTTTCAAGATAGCATAGATTTTTTAGCGGTCCTCTGTTCGTGGGTCGAGTTGCATTCTCCTCCACCAGTAAACCCTCATGGGATGACCCTAATTTCCCCTATAGGCTGCTGGTGTTGCTGCCTAGCTTAGGGTGGTTCTTGGTGACCTTCAACCCGACAGTTTTCATCATGGGCCATGAATTTCCTAAGGAGGCTCATTTGGATAAGCAATTAAATTTCTCTCTTTAGTTGGATACACGCATCGATGTCATGACCGTGGCCACAGTGGAAATTTCAATATTTGTTCAAATGTCTCTTTCTTGGGGTCTCTTCGAAGGCCATTTAAGGAGCTTTTTGTGTTGGACGTGATGCAGAACCTATGCCACCGATGTGTTCAAGTGGGTGTAACGCTTAGGAGCAAACCTCAGGGGAAAGTTCTACTTGGGTGGTCCAACTCTGTCTTGAACATCTCCCCCTTTTTTTAGGTGAGGGGTTTTTATTCGTCCTGGGGCTAGTTTCCTCCATTTTCTTACCCCCTTGATGGTTAGTTGCAACTGAAGAGCTGCGTCATGCCCGGAATACTTCCTAAATATTCATGGACTTCTCAAGTTTGCCCAACACATTGTTCATACTAGTTTGAGGATGTTTGGATACTAAAAACAGGGACTCTGAAGGATGAAGTCCGACGATAAATGCTTCCAAAGCTACATTCTCATCAAGGTTGTCTATCTTCAGAGTTTTGAGTTGAAACATTGAACATACTTCCTTAGTGCCTCATTGGGCTTCTGCTTAACTCCGAGGAGGCATGAGGTCGGCTTTAGATGGATTTTTCACTCTTATGAAATACGAGACAAACTACATGGACAACTCTTTGAATATGCTAATCATGTCTGGTGGCAGATTGTGGTACCAGGTCAGCGCTGATCCTTTAAGAGTGATTGCAAAGGCTTGGCACCCAACAAGATCTTGGTAATCATGAACGTCCATCAAATTCTTATACGTGTTCAGATGATCAAACAAGTCCTTGGTGTCATTGAAGGCATCCATGGTAGGTATTTTGAATTTGGTAGGAAGAGGGAAGTTATGGATTTCCTGGGTGAACGGGGATTCAGTCTGCTAGATCAAGGCTTCCATTGAGATGGGAACACTAGCCTTGACGAGGTTCTCTTTAGTTCAACTCCTATCCTTCTCCCCAATAACACCATTGGGAGGATTTTGTTGGCCAATTAAAAGTTGAATGATCTGCTGGTTTTGCTGGAGCAACTTCATCATAGCTCACTAGAATGTTCCCTATTCCCCAGAATAAGGTTGAGGATCCCGTGTGTTATGCGGGATATGGAACCTAGGCTAATTGTATGGATTTTAGTTCATGCTTCTCGTTTGTACCATCAATCAACAATGGAGAGTTAAGTTTAGAATGATGAAGACCTTTGCCACATACGGTGCCAAACTTATGGTATTATAGACTGAGAAGATTTTGGTGAATGGGGGTGTTAATCAAGTATGGTGAATATGAGAGCAAAATGATAAAGAATGCACCAGTTTAAGTGGTTTGGTTGCTGAAGATCAAGGTTAGTCCACTGTAAGTCAACTGTAATAGAAACTCTTGCTCTTTTTGTTGTGTATTGCTTGGGGTAAGAGATAAATGCAAATGGTTCTTCTTTTAGGGCAGTGTATATGCTTACCTTTTATATCTAGGTAATCATTACTATTTATATTAAAAATGTCAAAGAATAATTGATCGTTAGAGATTTTTTTCTTAATATATAACGTGATCTTCTAAAAGCGATAATGTGCCCTTTTGGAGGTGATGATCTCCTGCCAAGATAGGGTTTATTGGTGAAAGTCCTCTTTTACACCTTCTGGTAATTTCCTTGTTGATGGTCAGCCTTTAGAGTCCCATTATTAATCTGGACTATTTCAGGTCAGCTCGCTACAATATGATCTGGCCTGACCTGTCCACTATTTGAATTATTGACTTGACTAGTACATCATCTAAACTGATGTTTTCTTTTGGTATCATCAACTCTAATCTATCTTGACCTACTTAATTAGACTATAAGGATACTTGCCTCTTTGTGGTCAGCTGATTCAAGTTTCAGACTATTGGCTACGACTTATTTTTTAAGTTAAGAAATAATGAATATTATTTAATTTATAGGAAACTTACATCATTATGGAGGAAAATTAATAAAAAAATCTGGTTCTTTGTATCCCCAAATACATAAAAATATATAATTGACAAGTTTTTTTTTTCTTCTGTAATATGTAATTTTATCAGTGGGCACTCAAAAATGCTAGGAGTAAATCAGGCCTTCAGAAAGTAATGAGCAACCGACAAGACAAGAGAAAGAGAACAACCGAAAAGGAAGATTGGGTAGCTGAAGAGAAGGAAAGACTAGCAGAGATCAGGAAAGCATTCGACATCAATATGATAGTGGCTGCACTTATAGCCGCAGTAACACTCGCGGCTGGATTCACCGTGCCTGGTGGCTACAACCAAAGTGGCACCACAAGCCCAGTCCTAGGAATGGCAGTTCTATCAGAAAAACCAGCTTTTCCAGCATTTATGGTATCAGATACTATGGCTCTTCTACTCTCTTGTGTAGCTATATTTCTCAACTTTTGGGGGTCATGGATGGATACCGTAGAAACTATCGAGAAATTTGCCATTGTCACTACACGTATTGTTACTGCATTCAGTACAGCGATTTATGTGGTGTTGGCACAATCCTCAGCCCTTGCAATCGCCACATGTGTTGTGGGTGTCATATCTATACCCATTTCTTTTTTGTTGTGCTTCAGACTTGGCCATGTAAGCCTTTGATCAAAATATGATCATTTTTTATATGTATTACACATTTTAATCCTTTTTGTAGTTATTTTTGTTTGTCTGAAAAGTGGTTTTAATTACATGTTATTCAATGTAAAAACGTGTTACAAATATGCTTTTGTAGAGGTAACGTATATATGTAGGAGGTTTGAATATCAATCAAAATATGGGAATGGTGTTCAAGTTAGTGCTCTTGTATAAATATCTTAGACAAAATAATGGTTTCTATTATATTACAAGACCGCGTATACTTATTTTGTATTTTAAGAACTCATATTACACTGCCAAATGTAGAGACATTGTCAATGGCCGAAGACAAAATATACTTTACATTTCATTGGAGCGTAATGGGGAAGGGCATAGTCAAATATATCAACCACATAGCAATCAAAACTCTTACAACAACACTCTTCTAACTCTCCAATGTCTTGAAAACAGAATTTTGGGAAAATTCTGCCAGCTCTTGAAGATGATGAGAAGATGAAAGAATCAAGTAATCACTGGGACTTGTATCGGTGCTTGATTATTAAATGTTGCATTGTAGTTCTTTGTGTTGTATTTAGATTGTTGTTGGAAGGGTTTTTTTGTCATTTTTTTTTATTTGATTTGATGTTATTATTGAAGTGACACGAATCATGTAATCTTATGTGTATGTTTATGGCATTGATTGCTCCCAAAAAATTCAGAACCTTTAAAGTTAAGAAAGAAGAAAAGACGTCGACAAATTGAAAAACCTAACAAATTTCATTTAAGCTTTGTAAGAGGTGTCTACACGTTCATGCATTGGTTATTTAGCATTTGGAAAATGGAGAGGGTTAAGGAGCCCCAAGGCTGGTGGTATGTAGTTTAGAACACAATCAAATTAGGAAATAGGAAAATTTGGAGGCTGGTCGCCCTAAATAGACTTGTTTGGAGATAAGTCCTGCAAGAAAACTAATTTGATTATAAGTCCATTTTTTGTCAAGTTTACTTTTCTACCCTTATTTTTTTCAAAATATCAAATGGCATCTCAAAAGCCGTTTCTAAACGTGACGGTGAAACCCTCAATTGTTGGCACCCAAAAAACCGAAACTTTCCATCTCCATTATGTCCTACATTTCAGCCAAAAGATCCTCAAAATCTCTCTGTGTCCCTTTCTTCCAATATCAAAAACTCTGATTACCGAAACCGACTCCATTCAAACTTCAAAGAGAAAACTGTTGGGAAGTTACACAAACTGATCCGAATCAATTTGTGTTCCTTTCTTCAAGTTCCATTGGGGAAGTTACATAAGAGAGTTTTTTGGGCATTCAAAACATCTTCACCAACATTGGGATGCTTAAAAATCTAAAAGGTATGTGATTTTACATGTTATTTGATGTATATTTTAGGGTTTGACAGTAGCATTTATAAATTGGTTCAACATGTCAAACAAATTTTTTTAATTTTTTTCCTCACAATAAAATTTTGATTCCTTGTTATTATTAAATTGTGATTCCTTGATATGTATTTTGGATTAGTTTTTATTTTTTGGAATTGTGGAACATACGAAAATTATTGTTGCTATTTAATGTGGAAAATCTCATGTTACTGTGAGAGTACTTTAAAAAATGTTTGTAATAATGTTGGTATTTTGATGTTCTTGTTTTGTGTTGAGTGTCCTAATTCAACCATTGACAGTTTGTTGTTATTAGTTTTTTTTTTTTTTAAATTTTAAAATTTTGAATTGATTTTATTGCAATAAAACTATGAATTTCGATGTTACTATAAGAACTACATGGCATTTTTTTTGGGGGGGGGGGGTTACTGATCATGTTACCGTTACTTGCAAAAAAATTGTTGCTTGCGGCTTTGATCAAGACATTCGAAACCCATTGGTTCAAAGTTACATAAAATTGTTCATTTGCGGTGTGATAATTGAAAATTTGATTTCATATATCCAATATAAGTATGTGCTTGGGTACTTTGGATGTTATTGGAAAATTGATGTTACAGAATATATATTACTGATCATAACCTTTTTGGTTTTTACATTCACTGCACCATGTATTGCTTACAAAGAGTTCATGTGTTGTTGTATGTTATTGTGAATGTGTTAGTAATCACAATTCTTTGATTTATATTTGAGAATTAAAGGTATATGTTACATCATATATCTCTCAAACTTTGCATTAGCTAGTGTTACTTGTGTGCTTGCAATCTTCAATTCTACTATTTTTTTTTCTCGTTGGTATGCAGTTAAGAAAATAATGTTACTATGACCATTTTACTAATAACTTGTTACTGTGTGTACATCAACAATTTTGGTGTTACTGTTCATGTTACTTTTGCACATATTTTTTGTTAATTGTTATATATGCATTAAGATAAGTGAATTTGTGTCATGTTATTGTATTATATTCAAATATTGTTAATTCACTGTCATGTTACATGTAGATGGCCCAAAAATATCTTCATTTCACCAATTCAGATCTAACTTGCTGCCAATGGTGAAGGTTATTAGTGAAAAAACATCAAAGATGTTTACAAAGAACAGTTGAGGAGAACACCATTTTGGTATTTATATCAGACAATATCAACATCTGAATTGGATAAGAAATGGTTCAAGAAGAATGACAAAAGTATTGTTGACATCATTACCACGTTTGATGTTGAAACATCAAGATTTAGAATTGGTGGAAAAAATTTAAAGATACGGAAGTCTGATGTGTCCCTCATTTTTAGTATAGAAGATGGTATGGATCCAATTGTTTCTCCACAAAGTGCAAAAAAAATGTCACCATTTGTAAGGAGGAGATTCAATAGCACCAAAAGATTGAATGCACCAATTATAAAAAACAGGTTGGTGGATACTATAATGGGTGATGGTAAGGAAGATTATGAAGATTTTGCTAGATTATTCTCTTTATATGTCTTAGTGACATTACTGATTATAAATATGGGGCAAACAATTGGATGAGGGTATGTCTCATTGAGAATTTGGATGAAATAAAAAGATATGACTGGTGTCAAGTAACAATTGATGCAATGATTAATTCTATACGGTTGAAGATTGATACACCAAGTGTAATAATCGGTTGTGTACTACTGTTACTAGTAAGTGTTTGAATGCTAATTTTTTTGATGTTTTTTTTTAAACATTATATGTTCTATCTAATGTAAAAATATCTAATTTACAGTACTGGATATGTGAACACACTTCTCTTATTGTGGCCAACAACGCGGATGCATTCCCACGATGGATGAAATGGGATTTAAGAAAACTTTGGACAGTTCTCACAGAAAACACACTGTCCGACGTAACAGCTAATCAAATGTTATTTTAAAATTTGTTTTATTGTTTTTCTGATTTTTTTTTAAAATTACTTGATGATGTTACTATATAAAATTCATGTTACTATGGATGATATTAATTGGAAACTGGATGTTACTGTAAATGTTAATGTAGTAAAAATAGATGTTACTATGGTTGTTACTGTGTACATTACAGTCATTTGATTCAATTTAAAGGTGAACAATTATTGGACACATTTTTTAATGTTGTAATGTTGTTGTCAGGTTGTCAGAAGGAGACTTAAGAAAACACTTGTTGAGAAAAGTATAATGAGAGAAATTCGGAAAAATTTTAAAAACGTGCAGCATAGTGTTGAGCTTCTACAACAAAGCACTGTTGCTAGCAAGAGTGCTTTAAATTTAGATTTGGAATATGGAGGTGATGAACCTAATTTAGCTGGTGATGATTATATTGTGAGTAATGAATCTATCTATGAAAGTGATGGTGCAGTACATGTTTCTACAAATGATGATCCTGTCCAAAAAGTGACTCAAAACGTACAACCGTTTGATGCATTTGTTGATGTGGTCATTCGAGAATCTACATTTATGGAACCAGATGACATGGTAACACATGAGAAAAAGTCACAACGACATTCCCTTGAGAATGAAGGTACGTCTAATTTGAATGTTGAGAATGAAGTGCAAAAATTTACTATCCAAATGCTGGCTATGGAGAACGAAGCACTTCGAACGATTTCAAGAATATTGGGGGCAACCAAAGGGAGGAAGATTTGAAAGAGATTGAAGAATATGCCATGAAACTTGTTGATAGGGACAACCAAATTTCACAGTTGAAGGTTTTAGTTGATCTCTTGGAGAAAAACAAAGAAACACAAGAAGATCAAATTAAGACACTAACATCAAGGGTGTCTGAATTAGAAGAAGAAAACAATTTCCTGCATGATGTTGTCGCTGATATGGTTGTGCATGCTGTTACTCAAAAGTATCCCCAGACTCCACCAAAACCTCAGACCATCGAAGGTGTAGAACAAACATCGATGGTGAGAAAAATCAAACGGAAAGAAAGAAAAAGAAAGAGAGATGAAGATTTTGAGTATAGTAGGAAAAAACATGGAGAAAAGAAAAAATTGGAACAAGTTAAAATCTAGGATCAAAGTGACAAAATTAAAGGGAAGGAGAAGATACAAGATAGCTACATTGATGTTGATGATTTGAATATTACAATGCCAAATGACAAGCTAGAAAGTAAGCGAGTTGAAGCTCGAGGATGGAAAACCTGCAAGAAGTTAGGAACGGATGTGTACAACAAATTGGTTCAAATGCATATGGCTGAGGGAAAAAGGTAAGTAACTTAATGCCCCATTTTGAAACATATTTCATATATTTTACTGTTTATACTCTATTTTATTAACATGCACTGTTTTTGATTAAAAGGGCAACTTTGTGGAGTGGAAAAAAGTATGAAAATATCATTGAAGTTAATGATGTATTGAAATTCATGGATGAGGAAGAGCTGCACAACAATGTAATGTACCATGCGTCTTCAAAATTTAAACAAATTATGGAATACTTGAATATTTGTTATTTAACAAAGTCGTGTTATTACTTAGGTGATTGATTGTTGGGGAGAAATACAGATGGAGGAAGTAAATTGAAAATGTTATTTTTTCAACAGTTTGTGCTGGGTGAGTTTGTGCAATCTATGCTGAATTCTTGAT